TTACAGTGCGATAAATCAAAGTGCTGGCCAGATATCGAGAGAGATAGGGAAGTGCTAGCAATCTGAAGGTGCTAAGAACAAGATATTTGAGGAGGAAAAGCAGCGTTTCCAGAAAGCTGCTATGGCTGTGTTACAAATGCTCCGTTGTATTTAGATCCTATATTCTACGAAGATTAGCACAATAATCAGCGGTTCTGTGTGCTTCAGTACGATGTGTCCTTTGGTAATATACCACTCATTGGCTATAACTACAGTATAGGGCATGGAGTGTGATGATAATATACAGCTCTGTATTCTGCTTAAACCTTCCTTGTTCATAACGTTGCTGGTCATCACGACAAATAGTACACTGTCTTCAATTTGTAAACAGATGGTATACTGTCTACAATGTTGCTGGAGAGTTTCGCAAATATTATGAATATGCTTTGAGTACTATTAAATGGTGATGAATTACATGAGCCATAAGCATGGGAAGGTGGTGCATGCTGGCGCTTGGGGGTATGTTGAAGAAGGAAAGGTAAATATTTCCGAGAAAGACAATAAACACCTGCTCCTGGAGTGCAAAAGACGCCGTGATACGCATACCGCATGATATAGGACCTTGAATTTCCCAGACTAACATATATTGCATTTAACCAGAGAGCAAAAGAGAGCTCACCCCAATCAGGGTGATGGATTATATGTGATTTATTGCCGTCACATACAATGCAGCTGATTCACTAAAATGATTTTTTGTTTTTTTGGCTCTCCACCATCCTCCGACACTCATATGCACATCAAATTTGATGCCAGGACTTATGTTCATATGCATCAAAAGAAACTCAAACAATGCGCAAGACGAGCCAGATCTCTCCAACGAAGAGAACAAAGATATGACAAGCAATGATATACCCAATGAAGAGAACAAAGATAACGTCCGCTAATCTCAGGGATGTCTCAACAAAATCAGGAGGCTATCCCCGAAGTATAAAACTTGGATTTCTTAGGGGGGCAGGTAAAAAAAAGAACCCACTATAACTCTTTCTGCAACTCTACCTAAAATCTAAATACGTAAGACAATTGAACACA